CTTTTGCCAGAAATCCCTGCAGGAGATGGGGCTCCCTGGCAGTTTGGTTCATAAACCCTCTCCTCAACACGAATTGAAGCTTCATGACAGACATGGGTCGTACGTGCTACAAGCAGAGTGTCTCTGTATGCAATTTTTAAATCTCTTAAGCATTCTTTTCTTTTTGTAGATCACAGTTTAGTTCAGGTAAAGTAGCATTGTGTTCCTGCTTTTGGAATACACACAATAGTGACTCTTGAATATTTTTCCGGAGCTGAAACATGGGGATATTGCAATCGATGTATTTCTCTGGAGTCCTAGTACATTATAATGGTTTTAGTCTTTCTTATTCATAGTAAGGCAGGAGCTGGTAGACAGTGTTTGTATATGAAGTAATGTGTACATATTTATAAAGTCTGAATAAGGAGCTGTCAGCTAGAGAATCACATTCTAAAATTAGCAAATTTTAGCACCCCACTGGGTCTGGAAGCTGCACAGGGCCTGGACCTTCCCTGTAGAAGTTACCTGAAACCAGGACTTTAGCTCAAGCCCAGTTATTGATCAATTCCAACCGATAGGATTAAGTTGATTCCCCAAGGAGTGTTATCCAGCAAGACAGTGAATAGGAGTGGGAGAAAGAGAAAGAAAAAAAAAAAAGAGAAAAAAAAGATTCCATTTGTGTTTGGAGCATTAACCCTTTGCATCCCTGGATTGCCACCCAGATACGATGTTGAATAGAAATAGAATAGAATAGATGAAGCCTAAGCCATCAGGAATGTTGCTGGATGTTTATGCTTGCTCTCCTGTTCCTAGAAATTGAACATTTTAGTATTATTACAACTATTTTGGAATATTGATCTTCTGTCATATTGTTTACACCCTAAAACTTCACCCCCCCCAAAAAAAGATCACAGCTGCCATGAATTAATAGTCAAGGACTATTGAAATTATTACATATTTGCTATAGGTCTGTGGGGTGTTTCTTCAGGAATAAGGCCTAGTGTTACTATCTGTCTTTGAGAAGGGTGTTTGTTGTGTTTTTGCTTCTAGCATCGAGCCTAGAAGACTGGACACACATTGAGGCCCACTGCGCGGCCGATCCCGTCGTCGTGAGCCTGAAGGCTCTCACGGATCAGTGTGTGCACGGCAGGAGCTACTGCAGGCAGGTGCTCTGCCTCTACGAGCTGGCCAAGGTGGGTGGATCATAGTAGGAATCACAGGATGCTGAAGGTTGGAAGGGACCTCTAGGATTCATCCAGTCCAGCCCCCTGCACACGCAGGGTCACCTAGAGCACGTGGCACAGGGCTCCGTCCAAGCGGGGTGGAAGATCTCCAG